CAGCTGCTTGGTAAACTCCTCGAGGAAATGACAATTTTATTTTTTGGAAAAACGATTACATGCACCAGTTTCAAACGATAAAGATCTTGGGGGTATCCTTCGATACAGTAATTAGCTGACTTATGACCATCATATTAGAAATGTTATATCATCTTCTATGGCGAAACTATGCAAATAAACAGAGTAAACGACAGCTTTGACAGGGATACCCTCCATACAATCGTCAGCGCGCTAGTAATGAGCAAACTTTACTATTGCTCTACGGTATGGTCAAACACATCCGCGACAAATATTTAAAAACTTGAAGCAGTTCAAAACTTTGCTTGTAGAATTATAACAAACACAAGAAGATATGATCATATAATACCAGATCTTCGGGCGATTCATTGGCTTCTAGTTGATGATCGGCTTGCTTCGACGGCTTCTAGTTGAAGATCATCAGGAATATAGAGATACATTGATGACTTATAAATGCATGCATGGACGAATTAGCACCATCGTAAATTATGCAATCTATTCCTAAGACGAAACGAAAAACTCGTTCCCATTGTTGGTTGGCAAACTCTCTAGTAATTATTCCAGGGTTGGGTTGTTGCTATCCCCAGAAAGTGATAACATTTAAACTTTTTAAAATTGTCGTTGATTGGTAAACCCATAATAAACTTTAGTATTTCAGAATGATCAATGAAGGTTATTTTTATATTTATTGTGTTAGGTTCATATCCATATAGTTTCACAGCCTTTCACGTATTTATTCAAATTCTGCACTATGTGGTAGATTAGCGCTATCCGGTCTTAGCGCTATCTGTGGTAGATTAGCGCTATCCGATTAGCGCTATCCGGCCATCAAAGCGCGAAACATGTACGCCAGCAAATTATGTTATAACCTATACTTACAGGATAACGTACCGGTTACCATAAAGGAACCAGTCCCTCAGCAATTTGTTCATTTGCTGACAGGAAAACATGGCCGCGATAATTTCCGAGTGATAGAGAAAGAATGTGGCGTGAAAATTACCTGGCCAAAATTCAGTGGAACAGAAAAACATGTAGTTTTTAACATGAAAGGTTTGAGATCGAATTGTGAACACGCAAAAGAGACGCTCAGAGCAAGTATGGTAAGTATTTACATGTATAGTAGGTGTAGAAACTTTATATTATGACACTTTAAATTAAATTGTATCAAGTTACACGTTTATTGCCATTAGTTAATCAGGTCACATGATTAGACCACATGGACGAGTTAATTCATCATTAGTAGGCAAAGGGTTGCCGACTACGGACGTTATGTAAATATATTGAATAAAAAACTTATATAAAAGGTTGGATTAGTTCTGCTTTTTACATGGAGCCCGATATGGGACACTAGAACGGTACTGAAAAGAAATCGGCGGTTGACAAAGGTGCGTTTAGTCGTCGACAGTGAATACAAGTGACCCTGAGTGTCTTCGGAACGTGTCGGTGGACTCGCGTTGTGACATTTCAGTCTTTAGGAGGTAAAATTTAATGTTTCTCTTTTACGTTTCTATATTATAAAAGGTTCTTTCGTGTTAGAATACCATCCGGTTTGTTTTCTCTAAGTTGAAACGAATTTCTATCCTTGTGTAACGGTAAAATTGGAATCTAACTTTGCGGGTTGAGCATCATAGTTGTGTATTGTCTCATACTGTGATTTGTGACCTATTGTCTTGTATGTAAATATGACGGAAAAATTGGCTAGACCTAAAGGTAGACAAATCAGCCTTGCAACTTACTTAAAAAGTCTAACGAGCGAACTCAACGAGTGTATTTCTTCTGGGAGTTGCGAGCAAGTAAAGCTTCTTGGGTTAAAAAGCACGCTCTTGAAAAATGTCGGACAATATAGTATTGTGCATGAAGAAATTTTATCCTTGATTGACACTGAGAGCGTAGGGACGGAAGTAATTAGTCACATGAAAAGTCTAGAGCCAAGTTATCAGGTTTTAGCTAGGACGGATTTAGAACTTGAAAAAATTAAATGCGATCAAACCAATAGCACTGCAACTTATTCAGCTCCCAGGTCTATTGCAAATTGCCTAAGATGACTCTTCCCCAATTTACAGGTGATCCTCTTGCATGGCAGGGGTTCTGGGATCAGTATCAGGTTTCGGTTCACAATAATGTTAGTATTAGTGATATTGACAAGTTCAATTATTTGAAAGGATGTCTTAAAGGGGAGGCTGGGGTTGCTATATCAGGGTTGTCCTTAAGTTCGGTAAACTATAAGGAAGCTGTAAGTATTTTAAGGGATAGGTTTGGAAATGAGCAAGTTTTAATATCGGCTCATATGGAATCCTTGTTGAAAATTGATAAGATTAGGTCTGTAGGTATCATTAAAGGGCTAAGAATGCTTTATACTCATGTTGCAAATTGTAATAGGAATTTGAAATCACTTAAGCTCGATACCAGTGGATATGGTTCACTTCTAATTCCCATATTAAAAGATAGACTGCCTGATGAGATTAATATGATAATTTCTCGACATTTTTGTGGCAAAGTCTGGAACTTAGATGAAGTGATGGAGTATTGTAGCCATGAACTTAGAGCCCAAGAAAATTATAGTCTCTCAATGGTTAACAAATCCGAACCATTTAGGAAAAGGGATAATGCCTACACAGCTAGTGGATTGCTAAGCCATAACAGTAACCCTGCATGTTTATATTGTAATGAAGAAGGCCATTATGCGTCTAAGTGCAGTAATATAACAAATCACCAATCTAGGAAGGTCATTTTGCGTAGAAATAGGAGATGTTTTATTTGTCTAGATACAGGGCAGGTAGCTAAGCATTGTAAATCGGGTTATGTATGCAAACGATGTAAGAAGGGTAAGCATCACATTTCAATATGCGAGTCTGGTTCTGACGGGAGGAATATAGAACCTAAGGGTACTGGAAATAATGATAACAAAGACGGCAAACATAATAATGATAGTAATGGGTATTGTAGGCCACACAGGGTGTGAAAACAAGGGAATTCTTTTACAGACAGCAATAGCTGACATATGCCCAGCAGATACCACAGAGGTTAAGAATTGCACTAGGATTTTGTTTGACAGCGGTAGTCAACGATCGTATATTTCTGAAAATGTTAGGACTAGGTTGCAATTAAAAACTATTAGAAAGGAAAAGGTTATTATCAAGACATTCGGACAAACTAGTGATAGCGAGGTACAACAACTTGATGTCGTACAATTGAATATAAAGAATAAGTTTGATAATGGGTTCACACTAATTGAAGCGTTATGTGTCCCCACAATATGTAGCCCATTGACAAATCAGCACATAGCTATCACAAGAGAGTTAGAGGAGTTTAAGGATTTAAAATTTGCTGAGTGCATTAGTGACTCAACAACTCTACCCGTAGGAATTTTAATAGGTATTGACTTTTACCATGCATTCATGACTGGAAAAATCATTAGAAGTAAGGACGGACCTATTGCTTGTGGGACTAGGTTAGGTTGTGTAATTAGCGGTCGACTTGGTTCAGGTTCACCCGACCTGCATTGTTTTGAAACATATTTGTTGCGCACTGCAGTTGAAGAAGTAGATTTAACAGATATTTTGAGAAATGATCTGGATAAATTTTGGGCAGTTGAGAACATTGGCTCAGACAGTGACCAAGTTGTCAGTGATTTTAGGAATAACATTATCCATGATGGAACAAGATATGTGACAAAGTTACCTTTTAAGCCAGACCATGAGCCATTACCAGATAATTTTGCAGTAAGTGAAGGACGTTTAAAGTCATTGAAAGGTAGATTAGTGTCTAAAGGTATACTTAATGATTATGACAAAATCTTCAAAGACTATGAACAGAATGGCATTATTGAGCAAGTTCCTGCTAATGAAGTTGCAGGAGAAGTAGGTCAGGTCCATTATCTCCCTCATAGACCAGTAATTCGTGAGGATAAGGAAACCACTAAGATCCGCGCAGTGTTTGATGCTTCTTGTAAAGTTAATGGTCCCTCACTTAATGAATGTCTCTACTCAGGACCAAACCTTCTCGCTAGAATTTTTGACATTCTTATAAGATTTCGACTAAATAGAATTGGGATTTTGGCTGATATTAAACAGGCATTCTTGAACATAGCTATATCATCAGAGCATAGAAATTACTTGCGTTTTTTATGGTTTGACGTCGAGTCTGGAGAAACGATAGTTTACAAGTTTTTGAGAGTTGTTTTTGGATTGACAAGTAGTCCATTCTTATTGAATGCAACCATAAAGCACCATCTTAATAAGTATATTGAAAATGATAAAATAGTTGTAGAGCGCTTAAAAGACGATATGTACGTTGACGATCTAGTTAGTGGGACTGATGCCTTAGGGGAAGCTAAGGTTTTGTATGAGAAAAGTCGATCAATTATGTCAGAAGCAGGGTTTGATTTAAGGAAATGGGAAACAAATAGTCAGGAGCTTAGGGCATATATATCATCACAGGAAAATGTAACATCAAACCTAGAACCAGGAGGGGATGATATGACCTATTTTGAAATAATGTCACCTGATGTTAAGACCAATAATAAAGTAGTATTAGGATTGGAATGGGATACCAGCAGGGACGAATTTGTTTTTCGATTCAAAGATTTATTGTCTAAATGCGCTGTTATGAAAAGGACAAAGCGGAATTTGTTAAGTGTTTCGGCTTCAATCTTTGACCCATTAGGCTTGATTGCTCCAATCACCGCAAGAATTAAAACAATTTTTCAACTGCTTTGTAAAGATAAATTGAATTGGGATGATATCATTCCACCAGATATTGCGTTGGTTTGGGACAAATTTTTAGAGGAATTAAAAGGTCTCCAGGAAATAAGGCAACATCGGTATGTTTTCGATTTAGATTTTCCTTCGAAAAATCGAATTGAACTTCACGGGTTTTCTGATAGCTCCAAAGAGCTTTATTGTGCAGTTGTCTACCTTCGGCTTATTAGCAATGATGGGGTGAAACTGTCTTTTCTCGCTTCGAAAACTAAAGTTGCCCCTCTTAAAACCCTTACTATTCCTAGATTAGAATTGTTGGGATGTTTGTTGTTAAGTAAATTGATTAAGGAAGTACTTGAAGGTATCAAGGGTCGTATAAAGTTAGATAAAATAGTTTGTTGGTCGGATTCGCAGGTCGCTTTGTGTTGGATTAGAGGAAAGGAAAAGAGTTGGGAACCTTGGGTTGAGAATAGAGTTGTTTCTATTAGAAATGTTGTGGATCGTGATAGTTGGAGGTTTGTTAAGGGAGAGGTTAATCCTGCTGACGTGCCCACACGAATATCTTCCAACCTGCATGAATGTTTTGCGGGATGTTGGTTTTCTGGTCCTTCTTTTCTCCTGTCACAACATTTTGAGTCCAGTGGGAAGGACATTAGTACAGATGGTACTAATGAAAATTCAGTTGATGAGTTGAGTGTTAAGATAGGTAATATTTCCGAAGGCTCTTGTATGAATAATACGACACAGAACGACACTCCAGATCACGCGTGTTCATTAAATACTGTCATTGACTGCACCAGGTACAGTTCGCTTAAAAAACTTATCGTGACCACTGGTTATGTGATGAGATTCATCAACAACTTACGTAAGCGAGTGAAGAAACAGTCAGGCGTAATCACGGACGATGTCCTAAAGGTCGATGAATACGAGACAGCATTGTCAATGTGGATTAAAGATGAACAACTAGTCATTAAGAGACAGTCTAATTTCCGTAATCTCCGCGCCTCATTGAATCTTTTCGAAGACAAAAACGGATCACTACGGTTAAAAGGACGATTTGCAAATTCCTCATTGAAATACGAAGAGCAACATCCTGTTTTAATTCGGTGTAAGGACAGTCATTTTACTCGGTTGGTTATCTGGGATGCACATGAATCAACGATGCATCATGGAGTCGAGTCAACGTTAGCGAGAGTACGAGCCAGATACTGGATCGTCAAAGGAAGAAAAAGCGTCAAGGACATTCTACGGAAGTGTGTCTTGTGCAAACGATATCAGGGTAAACCTTTGCGCAGCCCTGAAAGTCCAGATTTTCCAGAATTCAGAATAGACCATTCGGGATTTGCATTCCAAGCGACTGGCTTGGACTTCGCCGGTCCATTGTACGTGAAGAACAACTCGGGAACTGATAAAGTGTACATTCTTCTGCTAACTTGTGCTTCTAGTCGAGCCATTCATTTAGAACTTGTGAAGGATATGTCGGTCGAACGGTTTCTACGAGGATTCAAACGGTTTATAGCTCGTCGAGGTGTTCCTGAAGTAATAATCAATGATAACTTCAAGACTTTCAAGTCGAGAGAAGTAAAGCGGTTCATGCTAGGACAAGGTGTAAAACAACGGTTCATTCTTCCAGCATCGCCATGGTGGGGAGGTTTTTATGAGCGTCTTGTTAGAACAGTCAAATCGTGTCTAAAGAAAACCCTAAGGAGGACTTATACAACGTTCGAAGAACTTCAAACGATTTTGTGTGACGTGGAAATTGCCATTAACACTCGGCCATTGGCATATCTAAGCGAGGATGACCTGGATGAGCCCTTGACACCATTCCATCTGATACAGGGTCGTGGTTATGTTAGAAGAGATCTCGGTCGGAGGAATACGGATATTGTACCAAATCTTAGTCTCGGACAGTGTAAAGATCGACTTGTGCATCTGCAAAAGGTATTAAAAGATTGTTGGGTTCGGTTTCGAAGAGAGTATTTAAATGAGTTACGACAGATGAACATTTATCGAAAGAGGAAGGGTTCTACTTGTGATCTGATAATCGGAGAAGTAGTTCTCGTCAAAGACGATGAGCCAGCTCCACGAACGCAGTGGAGAATTGGGAAAGTTATACAACTTGTAACCGGTCGGGACGGCCAAGTCAGAGGTGCAATGCTAAAGGTACTTAGCAAGAGTGGGAAGCAGACAACGATCCATCGACCGCTACAGAAATTGATATCGTTTGAGATCGCGGAGAATAACGTCAACGAAGACAAGAACGTAGAACACGATGAGACAGCGGAGTCAACTGAAGGAAATGAAACACAACACGATAGTTTGAGAAGGTCGACGAGAAAGGCTGCCGTAGACGGACAAAACGCACGACGATTAAGAAACAAGTATTACTGAACATTCGCACACCGAATTCTTTGGTGTGGGAGGATGTAGAAACTTTATATTATGACACTTTAAATTGTATCAAGTTACATGTTTATTGCCATTGGTTAATCAGGTCACATGATCAGACCACATGGACAAGTTTATCTATGATTAGTAGGCAAAGGGTTGCCGAGTACGGACGTTATGTAAATATATTGAATAAAAAACCTATATAAAAAGTTGGATTAGTTCTGCTTTTTACAGGCATTAATTAAACATGCGAAAGGCTAATTTTTTAGGGGAAAATTAATTGTTAAAGGGCTTGAACTAAAGCAAATTCTCTGAAATTTTGTACAGTAATTAAAAACCCTCAAATTACGATTAAAGCTTTTAAATTTCGTGCGCATTTAGTTTGTTGGGAAAGAAACACCCACCTGGTTAACACAATTTGAGTTCGAGTATTTTTTTCATTATTGTACATTATGGGTACTCAATGAATCTATATATAACAAAAACTTGATACCATGCACGAGCTGGTTTGCGAAATTGAGAGCAATTTTAAATCTGTTCATTTTTTTATACACCCTGTATAAGCTTTTGGGCTTAACAATCGTGTAGTTTATATGCAAGTTGTATAAATTAAACTACATATTTAAAGCCAAAAAATCGCAAAGGCCTAGCAAAAGCTACCACAGAGGTAACAAAATTTAAGGTGAATTTAAGATTATCGGGCGGAGGTAAATGCAACCCGTAACTCGTCACTTGCAACTCACAACTTCACAACCGGCGCGAATTATTTATTCCCTAAATAAATTAACTGACAGCTAGAAATAAAGTATATATATTATATATTCTTACCGAACAAGTTTTTCAGGTTTAATAATACGATTGTAATAAGCCCTCGTTGCTTGCTCCTATACAATAACAACAATCATTATTATGCACAATGTATGTCAACACATCCTTAATGCGCTGCAAGTTGCTGGGAACGAAAATAACGCTCAAACATCTAGTATATGAGTGGCTAAATTTGACAAAGGAATTTTTTGTTTGTAATCCTAATTTTATCCAACATGCCGAAAATCTCTTCAATGAATCCCTGGGGATTAGTTGCAAACCACAGATTAAATATCATCATTATGGGTTTTAGAGATGCTTTCATTTCCGGCTTTTGGTTTATTATTTATATCCTAAAATTTCCATCTTCACAAGAGTATATACATGTTGCATGTTCATCTTGTTTAGCCGCTGTTGCAAGTATCGCAGTAGCACTTGCATAGGCCATCAGTTTTTGCAATATGCAGTTTCTAATCAAGTTTCATGTTCGTAAATCCATATAGTCTAAAATCTAAAATGTTAGGTGTTTTGGGTAACGTTCGCTTTCAACCAAATTTATATTGAATACACTTAAGAGTTAAGGTGACTCGCTACACTTTTTTAAACATTAAAGATTTTCTGCCGATTCGGATATGAATTTCTGGAGAATTATTATTTATTTAAAAACAAAGAGTATCTGACTTGTATAACACAATAACTAAGGAGTTCGGAATTTTAAAAAAGTACTCCTAACTGCCGTTGCTATGGCAACAATGACGTTACAACATGTCGGATATTTTATGCTTAAAGTAATTTAACTCGAAAAAAACTTCGGGAACCCCCATTTTTTATTTCATAAAATGATTTCTTTTAGAATTTTAAACTATTTTCGTTATCTTAAAAACTCTAATATGGCAAAAAAAATTTATTACGAATTTTCACATTTTCACATCTTGAAAAATTTCGGCATAACATAATTTTTTTTAAATCATGAAAATAATTCAAAATACCAATAGAAATCATTTTATGAAATAAAAAATGGGGTCACCAAAGTTTTTTTCGAGTTACTTTAAACATAAAATATCCGCCATGTTGTGACGTCATTGTTGCCACAGCAAAGGCTGTTAGGAGTAGCATTTAATTTAAAAAAGTGTAGGGAGCCACCTTAAGACAGGGCAATATGATCATTTCCAGGAAAGTTCAAAAGCTGTGTACTGTCCATTTATGAACAAATGAAAACAGTGTTAGTACCATGACGTTTAATCGTTTGCACTTTTAGTGTCTAATTTCACAATAAATTGATAAAATCTTTATTCTCCTTCAGTAAATTTTTCTGGACTTTTTTTAAAGATTTATGGTTCATGAAGGAATCTATATGTATATCAATGTATAAAGGATATATATATATATGTAAATCGTGTTTTAAAAAAACTGTTCTAGCTGTAGGGAGCCACCTTAAATCGAAGTCAAAACACGAAATTTTGGCACACTTCTCGCAACTTCATATTAACCGCGCAAACAAAAACCAGCCTCCTCCACTGGCCCTCGTGCATGCCTCATGGGAATGTCACAATTTCTAGAGAGGCTGCTGAATCTTGTAAACAAAATGGCGTTATATATTATTGCTTACGCCAGTAACCAATTTTCATGGTTACTACGCGTTGCTAAGGAAAAATGACCAATCAGACGCGATTTTACCAAAAGCTCTATTGTGATTGGTTAAAATGATCGCTAGTTAATTATTAAAATGTATTACTGGATATTTAATGGAAAAAATAATTTATTTTGCACATGATTCCGCGGGCCCGTATGCAGAATTCGGGTGTGACCTTCCCATGTTGCAGCAGACTGTGGAGGAGACAGGATAAAAACAATAGAAAGGGACTGGCGCTGGACGCAATTTTCGCCATCTTTTACTTCACTTTTTGGACTCGAGTTCTTACTCCAGTGTATATATGCAGCTCACTTTACTCACCTTAACCATATTAAACTGAGTTTCTTTAACTTCAAAAGTATTCATGTGTTCAATTACCTTCTGAAACAGCATCTATATAAATAAACACCAATTTATACTTGAATGTATTTCGATACTAGAATTTATTTCGCTTTAATTTAATACATTTAAAAACCGGTCAGAAGAATTGTTTGCAAAGAAAGAAGCATTCAACGTTACCGTGGATCAGGAAAACGGACACAGAGGGGCTATCTGACTTACTGCCAGGGAATCCTTAAAGTTAACTATATAGTAAGTGGAAAAGTTAACCAATCAGAATCGTGCATTTTAGAGTTAACTACTGTACAATTTAATAAACTACGAAACAGGTAGTTATAGAAAGTAGTTAGAGTTTTCTACAACCGCCCCAGGCTCCTGGTTGTTCTCATCACGAATATGGGGTTCCGCCTCTTAAGATGAATTTATATGGAATATACCTACCCTTTAAATTAAAATGTTACGTCCAAACTTACATGAAGTCACATGCTGCTTTCTAATATTGCACATAACAAACCAGTATTAACAAAACCGCGCGCATCCTTCCACGCAAACGTGCGATGTTCTCGCGTCAAAATATGCAGGAATGCGACCACATTCCTAACGTCGTGGTGTCTCTTACGTTGGCGTGGCTAAAAAGTGAGAGTGTCGTGGTCATTAATGTCGATAAAAAAAATAGTTCCACATTTAACAGCAATAGGCTTAGGAATGTAGCCGCATTCCTGAATGTTTTGATACAAAAACATGACACGTTTTTTCAGGCGAGACGAAGCGTCCACGGCAATACGTAGTTCCAAATCCTGAAATCGCATTATTAGGGAAGTAATTAATATACTGGGCATAAAGAACGACGATGCTATTAGTTTGTATTCAACAAAAGCTTTCTTTTGCTATTACCAATGAAATGAATATATACTGGAACGCTACCTCCAACTGGAAACTTGAAGCCAAACTTGAAGGCCAGTTCCAGTCTTCTCACGCATGGGAAGAGCGCTCTCAATCAGTCAATCATGATACAAACACGCGTGTTTTGACCCCCAGACACAGGTGTCTGAGGGTCAGATTTGGCTTCAAGAAAAAGATAGGAAGTTTATCTGAAGGTAGCGTTCCAGTTATATTAATTTTAATGGCTATTACAGAGTATTTTTGCCGTACTTATTCAACACATTCTCGCCTCGCCCGCCTTTTGGGTGTTCCGCCGCGGGTAGACCGTCTGCCACACAGGTGAACAACGGCTCCTATAACGCGGAGACTTGTTTGTGATTATATTGAGCAATTTTGGCCCACATAAAGATAAAAAAATCCTCCGCCGTGTGTATGTGTTTGTGTGTATGTGTTTGTCTGTCATCATGATTATCATAATTTTAAAAAAAATCAAACGTAATAATAGCAAACGTTTGTGTACAGTAATTAGCCCATAGTCTAATTTATGCATGATACATAACCTAATTCTCTACTCTGGCGGAGGTATGCAGTCGCCCTCTACTGCTTTATACGCTAATTTTCTTTACATTTTAATACTTGACATTTTATACACTTACTTGCAATTTGTCGCTAAATCCACAAAAGTTCATTATAATGCCAGTTTGACAAACTGTAATGCAGTAACTAAAAATATCGAGTTTGCAAAGAAGATTTTATTTTATAGCACTATCCACTATTTATAATAAATATTTTAAAATGTACATATATATATTCAGATTAGACCTACGTCTTCTATTTCTATTTTTAATATTCAGCGCTTTTACACATGAGAAGACTGGGACCTAAGCGACACTTCTTTCGTTTCGCTTGTGACGTCATACTTGCTAAATGCTAGCCTAAAATTGACCAAACCTAGCTGCCAAAGCCAGCCGAGTAAAGGCATGGCTCTAGGCTAATATAGATATTGAAATTATACAGTATATTTACATGCAGGAATAGCGCTGGAATACTGTAATGGAAGGTATTTCAATTTCGTGTTTCGAAAATGCAACTTTTAAACATCTTGTGTGTGAGTTAATGTGCTATAAGCTGGGTCAAGATAAGTAACCCTACAGTAGCTTTATGGTCTTTAGCTCTTCTGGTAATTTACTCTTAGAGATGATACTATTTAAAAAATATATTAAACATGCATCATTAATACATGGCACTCGATCTATATAGGCCAGACTCTACCTTAATTCAGCCACATCAGCTGCATAAGCAACATCTTTAAGATCAAAGTCAAGTAACAAAGCAAATATTTCTGCAAGTACCATACTATAGATAAAAACAAAAATGAGAAGATCTAAGTGAACGAGATCTAAATGTATAAGTGATTATATAATCACTTTCGTGAATAAGGTATGGTGACTGCAAGTACTGCATCATTATGAGCATAGCCATAGGAGTCAATTCATGTAGCCGTATACCAGATATGCATGAATAGACAATTCCCATTATAGACTAATTTTAAAACTAGGCAAGGAGATGCAAATAAATCACCACAGGTAGAAAGAGCATACTAAAATTAGTAAAATTACAAAATTTGGTTGCGAAATGTTGTAAAATTTGGAAAATATGGCCTTGCAAAGTTTGCAAATTTTGTATACTTTTGTATTGCGTGCGACATTTTCGGCCTAAATGTGGTAGGAATGTGGTAGGAATTCCCGCAAGCAATACAAAAGTATACAAAATTTGCGAACTTTGCAAGGCTATATTTTCCACATTTTACAACATTTCGCAACCAAACTTTGTAATTTTACTAATTTTCGTATGCTCTTTCTAGCTGTGGTGATTTATTTGAGTTTCCTTGCCTAATTTTAAAATTAGTCTATAATGGGAATTGTCTATTGCCTGATTACGATTTCGCTTTTGTCGCATGTTGAAAGAATAATTCCAGTTGGTGATTCTAACTAATATACGGCTGGTTTTCTCTGCATACTCCGGTCCCCATTTGTAATAATAATGGACTAATACAGTATGACTCCTAACCGAAAGAATGTGGCATAGGCGCACGTGAGACTGGGGGCAACTGCATGCCCTCCCCCCAAAAAAACAACTTCATAAAACAGTGGAATTCGGTAAAAATACCAGCAAAAATCAAGAAAATTCGGGCAGATTTATTAGAAAATATGGAAATAGTTAAATTCGTGGTTCAGTATTTCACTACAATCTTTCATAGATGGACTTAAATGAAAGCCAGTAAAGTAATAATTCGGTCAATGTGTGTAGTGTCAGTTAGGTTGGTTTACAATCATTTTAAAAGGGTCAGAGGTAGAAAATGGTGGGACGTGATGGCACAAACTTTTTCTAAAGTTTGAATACAATAAAAATTATTTTTGAACAGAAATTGCATAATTAAGTCTGTACTTTCAAATTACATGGCATACATGCATGGCATATACTTGCTACGAATTGTATTTACTGCATGGATGAAATAATAATTGCCTATTCCAGCTGGAATCGACAACAAAGAGATAATCACCATGTTGGAAGAGATTCGAATGAGTAATGATCTAACATGGCGGCGATGGTGTAGCTGTAGGATGAACACCATGAATCTACTGTTCGATGGAAATCAACACAAGATCGGTTGCATTTGTTCCTGCAACTGCATGGGGACTTACACTCCGCGATTTATTAAAATGAATATATAACTTAATTAAAAAAATATTATCTTTTGCTATTTAACATGGTGAAAATGTCTTTGTTTTCTGAATTTCTTGGAATTTGTTGCAGAAACTTTACGTATTGGGTGTCCATGCATGTATCCACAGCAGTCCAGTGGCAGTGGATTGAAAACTGAAATATATTAACGAACGAACCGGAATACATCGGGGGTGATAACAAAGGACAGGAATCTCAGGGCTCAACTGACTCAGGACATTTCATTCCAGTGCATGTTGCCAATGGAACAAACTTGATATATCTTTCAGGAATATTACTTCTCATTCCAACTTTAGTAAAGCTGCATGTAAATGGGAAACGTCTGCAGCAGAATCAAACGCTCCAACATTTTTGTCTGTCAATATTCGGTATAATATTTAATTAGTATTCTATTTCTATAGCAGGGCCATTATGAGAACTACTGAGTAACCATGTGTCATTACCCTCGTTAAATAAAGTTTCTAATCTGATCTAACCTTCCAGCTTTTATAGTTTTGTATGGTGCAAGTTATCCTGGTTGGGAAAGTATATATACAAGGGAATTGATCACTTTCAACGCAAATAATGGCTTAAAAATGGTAGTCATGCTAGTCGATTATAGCTAATTTTACGCCTCTGATTGCAACTTATTTACCTTGTCCTTGATGCTGAGGATGCTACGAATTATGATGAAACACAATTCACAAATAGCATATATATATATATATATATATATATATATATATATATATATATATATATATATATATATATATATATATATATATATATATATATATATATATATATATATATATATATATGTTCTGTGTTTAAATCTGATTTGTATTTACAACTTACTTTTTAGCATTACGGTTGATCAATGGAGATTTGAAATAAATGTTAAAGATTGCTAAACAAAAAAATTAAACATTTAAAATGTCACTCTGAAAAAATAGCATTTAGTTTAAATTGCCAACGTTGCCGAATTTAGTCTGCATGGCAACGGCTGTTTTGCTGGATGCCTTATTTTTTTAGTCATATACAACAATTTCCACTGATAGAAAGTACTTTGACAAGAAAGACAAAGTAAAACGTACTCCTTGTTCCCCGAGTCCGCGATTCCTTTCCCAAGGAATCATTGCGAGCTCGGGGAACGAGATTGGATCCAAAACCGCACTCTCTCCTCCGCAGAAGCGTTTACGGTTTTACGGTTTTATTCCCTAGCCTGTGTCTCAGTCCACTTACTCGGATGCCTCACATTTTAAACTGAAACGCTTCTGCGGAGGAGAGGATACGAACACTCGCGGCTGTTGCAAGTTGACGCCATGAAGAACGAACATGCTTTACAAAATTACCAGCATGCTCTACTCTTCAAACAGTCTTGTAGTTTGTAAAATGGATCGTTCTATTACATATAGGATGAAATATTTACGAGTGTGGACATATAGTATATTACCTTTCGGTATGAAAAAAGTATCATCTTGTTTATGCCATACTTTACCACTGGTGCACTCGTGAATCATCACTGGGAACTATAAATTAAGAGGAAATCAGATAATTGTTACAGTTACTGCACGTGACACATGCAGTTATAAAATCAATCCTTATTTAAAAGTGAGCATCAAGGCGAACCACCGCATTAGACTTAAGATGGTAAATAGATAGGAATATTACATGTCCATCATACTAACACGAAACTTAATTTAGTGATAAAATTTGTAAACAATGTCAACGACCATGCGCTGTGTCCCATTGACAGTGAACTGCCGCTTTGTCCACTTCACACTACAAGAGCATGAAACACTCTACACTCCCATAATTGCAAAAAAGTTAACCGTACAGAACACAATCAGTGTATATGTCCGTCACTATGACACTAGGCCTAAACCTAGGATCTTGCCTAGGACATGAAGTGTGGGTGCGAAAATCAAATTTCTCCTGTGGCTGTGCACATAGCTGTAAATACCAGCCTTGAGCAGTTGAGGTCTTTAATGGTGCGGCTCACAGGGCCGTACAGGAGGGGCAACTGCCCCCTAGAAAAAACTATATTTACGATTTTTAGAATGACATTATTAATTATTCTTTGGATATTTGGGACTTTTTTCGGGATATTGGCATTACTGCCTCCTGGTGAAAAAATCCAGCGTACGGCTTTGTTAAGCTAGAGCTTAATTATCCTCGCCATCGGTAACAATTCGTGACTACCAAATGTCAACTCTCGTTTGACCGCACTCAATATTGAAGGTCAATTTTAAGCTCCCAGCCCAGACCCAAAGGCAAGGCCAGTGAGGTTTAAATAATATTTTTGGAGCAAGAACTTCAGACTATGAGAAAAGTGCAGCCAAGAATGCGGAAATTGACGTCCAGAATCTATGAAGGTCGTAAACATCTCCCAGCTAATTTCATTTTTTCATTTTCTAACGGACCGTATCGCTAGTTAGGGACCGGTCATTATCTCTGACCGGAGGGGGGGACCGAAGAAAAAAGTGTTGGGTAAACACATGGCGTGATTTTGAGTGAGTAAAAGGTTGGCCATGACTTTTGTGCGACAAATCATTGACATTGTTTGTCGAAAGAGTTATTGAAAATGCCGATGGACCAATGGCAAATGGCAATGCCAATGTATAATAAAACAGTTATTGAATTCGGTTATTCGGTTTCTGCGATATTCCGACTATCAAGGTTTCGGTTAGTGTTATTAATCTCGGCTAATTCGGCCCGAGTGATAACATTTTAATACCTCAACCTCAGTGTCAATTCTGGATATCACGAAAACCTAGTCATCCAATGGCAATGCCAAATAACTGTTTAATATTGATTATCGAGCGTTCGAGGTCAAAATACGAAATTTCGCCACACTCCATTGCGGCATTGGCGCATTGCAGCTTCGTGTTAACGGAGAAGCCAAGAACTGAGTGACGTCCAATAACTCCATCTTGGCTTCACTTTTTGGATTCGAGTTCTCGCTACATTAGTCATTATAATAATTAATGTATTATATATTTAACAAATACAGTGGAACCCCGCCTTACGGCCAACCTCGTACCCAGGGTATTTGCTCTTGGGGAGCGAAATACCCTGGTATGGCCTGGTCACGTGACCCGCCTTACGGCCACCCCGTTAATACGGTCACCTCGATAATACGGTCACTTTTTTTTGTCCCGGCGAAACACTAATACATTTTATAATAAAGTTACCCGGTTAATACGGCCACCCCGTTAATACGGCCAACGGCCATATTGTAGAGTCTCCAACTAAAGAAATCTACCCGTTAATACGGTCACTCAAAAAATAAATGTGTTTACGGACGGAAATGCAGTATAATTTAAGACACCTTGTGCAGTGAGACACACAATTCAAATTGCATCATATTACTAATGTTTTTATTTTTATTATCAGTCGCGCAAAGGAAAAGAAAGAATACAAGGTTCTTTAGCGACGTTGTATTCCCTAACATTGTTTCCTTAAAACTAGTGAAAACTTTATCTGAACTTTATAATGTTTAGTTATTAATTGGTATTATGGTGGGGTATGGTGTTATTGTGATTTTCGAATAAACATAGCTTTAATGATGTCACAATTGAAATTTGATCTCACCCCGTTAATACGACCACCCATAGATATAAGATATCTATGCGGCCACCCCGTTAATACGGCCATATTATTTCGGCTCGTTGGTGACCGTATTAACGGGGTTCCACTGTATAAAACAAATAAAAAGATTTTTTCGTGTTGATATACAGTTTATATATCAACACTCGTGGAAATTGGGAAAACGAGAAATTGTGTGGAAACACGACGCCCGAAGGGGCGAAGGGCAAAGTGTTTTCACCACTGAGCTCTACTATATATATCTGGAGACCGTGCTCCCATATCTCGTCAAACAAAAAAGTGTCCGCAAAAACATGGCGGATTTCGAGCTCCGCGTCCACTATTTTCGGGCGATTTACCACTGACCACATAATATTTTTGAAAGCCACCTGTTTTCGCACCCCCCTGGATGCAAAAAGTATACACTGTGTAATTATTAAACTATGAAGTTTCACAACTTTATATTTTGTCAACATGCCGCGTTAATATTGCTCGGTTTATGGTTGTCACAACTCCTTTGACAAAGACGGACTGTATTCACACTGGTAAGGAAATATTATTTTGTGCTTAGATATCATTCGAGAAGTTTTTTCTGCAAATGACAATGTAAAGCAAACGGTAGTTTATGTTTTGTTCACGTGCATGTGTCACCAGCTTTTCTCGACTGTGGCTTCTTTTCTGAGGTTTTTGCATACAGTTTGTTTCATTCAAATATTATATTTCCATTGTTCCTTGTGATGTTCTCGTGTGCGTTTTTCCTACCTACTGTACAGTGTATTTTATAGGCCTGTTTGTATTTATGAAAGCATATTGTTATTGAATTTTTTCCCTTCACATATTTAAGCATTCCTGATGCAAAGAAGCATCCAGAGTTGTACAGCATATGGGTTGAGTATATGAATAAACATGCGACAGTGAAGTCTGTTCCTGCGAAAAGTAGTTGTTTGTGTTCAGATCACTTTAGTGCTGATATGTATGAGATAAAGGGGAAAAGCCAGAAATTACATTTCGCCCGATGTGAGGCGTCTGTATTCGCAGGCTAGAAATTAGTATTGAGACCGGATGCTAATACCAACAATAGTTACACAAAGGTTTGCTCAGGTCATTGGTTACGATTTAAAGTGTTAAAGTGTTATATGTAACAGTGTGCATGAGTTACATTCTTTGCTAAGGGACAAGTCATTATTAATGCCGGGTAGGGGGCTGGACGAAATTTTTATGAATAGCAAAAATTTTTCATGACCCCTTATTTTTCTAACAAACTATTTTATCCCCCCCCTCCACCCCAATTCTGAATTCAATTACTCTAAGTCAGTTTCATAACCATTTTTCCTGCCCTCATACTCAGTTTACTTGCAGATGTAAAGAATATTGTAAATATTGAAAATAAAGAATATTGAAAATGTAGCCAAGTACTAGATAATTCAGACTTTATACCTGAAAAGTTGTTGGTCCTCAAACAAAAAAAACCAACACAAATCAGACCTACTTTTACTAATTGAAAAAAATACATTTGTGTCTGGTGGAAGCATTACTGTATATTGAAGAGATGGCAGAAGCGACTGTCAACAACATGCAGAAACAGAACATGCAAAAGAGGTCCACTGTGTTAAAAGCAGGACAACAACTGTCAACTGAATCTTGCATTTGCAAATGCAGTGCATGACCCTTTAGACAAATTCTTTGATGATGAGGATGACAATTTCCATATACAGTGCCTAGAACACAACTTTTAGGTTCAATATATTGGGCATTACTGTTCAATGTATGTATACTGTATATATCCATCACTCTTTTGATATTGCATGTTACAAACTATAGATTTTATTCCCCCCCCCTTTATGTTCAAAATATTTTCTGCCCCCCCCCCTTCACTGGTCAAAAATTTTTTGTGGCCCCTCTATATTAAAATGTATTGTACATTTACTAGGAATGGTATGCTGGATGTGTTTTAAAAGAGGGCATAAAAAAATTGTGTGCCCAAATAGAGCAAAAACCCACTCAGACAGTTGTTCAAGAACAACATAATTGGCACAATTGCCATGATATTAAATTCACTAAGTAACTTTATATACATATAATGTGTGAATGTTGTGTGAGTGTTGTGTGTTAATTTTAATTTATTTATTAGGCCATTAATGAATATTCTTGGTTTGAAAAATATTTTAGGGGGGGGGGGATGTCCCCACTGCTGGTGCCACCACTGGAAATATCAGCTAATTATAGCCAGCATAGCTTCAATAAAATATATTGAAGTAAATATGACATCAAGTACTCTTTTATTAAAAGCGATAGCTATGTGCGTGTTTCACTTGTATCATTTGGGACAACCCGAGAATACCCTTATGGAATTAACAAAATAAAACATGGGTATGAAACCAAAAATACTTATTGATGGCCTGTAATAGTAATATAATAATATTGTATATATTTTTAAATTAAACTTTTTAAATGTTGAATAAATCTAATTTGTAATGAAAATTAATAATGCACATAAGAATATGTTTAATAAAATAATATATAATTATTGTTTGGTGTGCTAGATCTTTAATTAACTAATCTTTTGCCTGGTCAAACAATATGATTCTATTGCCATGAATTGCCATCGAATATAACAATGATTCCAGTGACAAACGTAGAGCCATATACATTTGGGTATTTATTAGTGCAGATTTACTTTCCCCATAATGTGCACAGAGTACATTGTGAGTAGACATGATCAACAATGTGCGGTTTCCATAATCTGAAAAATACAAACAGCAGTAAATATTTAGATGATACATGCATAAACCGACATAAGTTTCGTTTCAACAAAGCATGGCTGTGTTCACAAATTTATACATTAAAATTATATGTATAGTAGAAATGCAAAAGGAACAACATACTTTTTATACAATTTGAAAGAGAATTATGCACATATCAACGGCCTGCC